AATAAATCAGTAACCTTTAAACCAACAAAACGTTCATCGGGATTCTCAGGATCTTGAATATCACGTTTCTCAAAAAACGTAAACTGCCTCCATCCTAGTTCAACCAGCGACATAACTAAAACTGTTTGCCGTTAATTTCAGATATTTATGAAACTACCGTTAAAAATGATCCCACAACTTGTAACCTTCAAAGCTCTTTTCGCTATATTTTCAACAGTTGTCCACCGAAAGTACCACTAGAAAACTTACTTCAGTTAAACAAACAATATTCCTCTAAAAACACAAAAAGTTGCACGAGAAAGTTTAGCTGAAAAAGCCAACCAACTAATTTTGCTGAATATAAAGCTTTCAGCAAATCTTAGAGGAAAAAACGCCATAAGAAAAACACGAACAACGTTGACAAACCTTACAAAACTTTTAGAGATCACGTGAATCACTGCGCCGTAAATAACTTGCTTCAATATACGCTAGGCCCCAATGTCACATAACAGGCAACTAGTGACCAGTCTTGAATAAAGCAGTAGATAACCTTTCAATTAGCATCGTTAACCGGTAATCAAAATCTACACTCGACACCTATCAAACTACAGCACAATTCATACGCCATAAAACGCTAACAACAACTGACCAACCAAAGGTCTTCAGAGCTCATCGACTTAAGAGCAGTTAATTGGCTGATCCTTTCCTTCACAGAATTATAAATCACTCGTGTCGCTAGGACTGCTACTGTCCGACTTCAAAAAAAGATCAAACCAAAAACAAACACAAAACTTTCAGCAATTCCAGAAATAAAAGTGACGAACCCTCGCACCAAACGGCAACATAGGACTTATAGCAATAAAATGAACTTACAATTATTATTCAACGGAAAAATGCCAATTATAGGAGAAAGAATAATTTCGAAACTTTCTTTGGGTTAGTAGTGCATCTCATACTAAGTAAAACATAAATCATTTCATAACTCATCCGATAAAATATAATACCAAATATGAATTTTCTTTTTACTTGTAGAAATTGAAGTAACACCAAAAAATAAAAAATATTACAGGATCCATACCAAAAGCCCATTTCAAAACAATTGTTAGTAAAAAGACATAGCACGCCTTTCATCCCTCTATGGCATAGCCTTCAGGGAGAAAAACGGCAAACGCAGAGTAAAATAAAAGGGATAAATATATAAAAGACGCAACTTTAAATAACAAATCGGGAAACACCTATACCAATACTTTACAACGTCAACTGCTAACAGAAAACACTACCGCCTTTTATACAAACATGGTTCCAAGGACAGCCCAACTGGATTCTTTTCTCGCACTTTCCCAATCTTCAAAAATTCAAACATAAAGAAGTAGCCACCTCCAACCCGTCTCTAAAAAATTACAAATCAAGGATAGTAGGAGCAAAGAGATTTTCATTTTGTAACTAATTTCAAACCGTAGCAAGCGAAAAAATTTTGTTGAGTGCAAGATGTTACAGAGCCAAGTCAAATATATGATACTATTATTATAAAGCAAAATAATATCTAAGTACTTTTTCCTTGAGGTCAAAACCAATTTTCCTTACAGCACTTACGAATGCTTTAACGCTTGAAAACCTGCTGGCAACTTCTGCAATCTTCATGGTCCCACTGAAAAAGAGTCCAAGACAAATATAAGCAGGCAACACAGCAAAAACTGGAGAAAAAAAGTAAAATTGCATTAACAATTTATTAAAGGCAAAATTAGAGAAGAACACTTCAAAGGACTACAAAGAATACACAAATAAAGAAATAAGTTATTAAAAGAACAACAGTGATTACAAAATAACCACTTTTTTTTAAGTATTCTATTCGCTTCACACAAATAATCGGATAAATTTGACCCCATCAGTGAAAGGCAGAAAACAACAATGTCCACAGACTTCCTTCTGAGAGGAACCTGAAAAAAACTGAGCAGTTTCCTGCCTTATAAAAAATCCAAACAGTATATACAGACTTGGAAAACCCTGTTTCCTCTCAAGAAACTTCACGAGAACGAAGATGTACCTCCGACATATTGCAAGCCGTTACTCTTTCATTCAATGCAACTAAATCGTATGAGAAAACAGTTGTTAGTCCTGCTAACGCTTCAGCAATTAGAGCCTCACCGCACCCCATATCAGCGACTGTCAATCCCTTCAAATCCAACGATTTCAGCCAACTGATTATTTCATTTAGTGGATTATACGGCCATTTCTTCATCTGGAAATTGAAATTTACTACTTAGCAATTACACCACTAAAGTATCCAAAAGTCGTTAGTAAACAAATTAAACTGTTAAAAAACTTTTCAAAATTCTCAGCTTAAAGAAAGTCCAGGAAAAAAAGAAAGAAAACAGAATAAAGTTAACCAAACACTGGAAGATGCTAGTAACCTGGTGACGATAGCCCTCATGATACACCTTAAAAGCTTGTGGATCTTCTTTAAACAATTTTGCAGCGTCTTCACCTGACATGGTATACAACTGCTCATTAATAAAGCGAAACCGAGCCGGACGAAGCTTCTCGACCGCATTGTTTTCCTGTGAAATCTTTTCCTTCAAAAGTAACCTCATTTTCTTCCTCCATTTCTTCCTTTTTAGCCTTCTTTTTTCTACCGCTCTCTCTGACAGTTTTCTCCCCGCGTCCGTTGATTCATCGACTGCAAATTGTATTCTTCCTTACAATCGTAATTGAAACGAAATTTCAAACTGTAACTCTATTAACCGAATTCTTTATTGCACTATGTACTAACGCTGAATAACTGGAACGCTTCATAAATATATTGAATAATAAAACTAATTTTGTTTTCTTTTTCTACTTCAACAGCAGAAAACTTCTTTTACGCCATAAGCAGTAAGACAGAGTTCTTTCAGACCGTTATCCTGGATCGTTGCAGTAAGCCAATAATTATTATCTTTGGTTTTTTTCCCTCGCATTTCTATCAAAAACCTTTGGACAAAAAATGTAAAGCTTACACTAGACTATGTTACAGAGAAAAGCTCCATCGCACAATAACATGTTTCCTACCCAACCACTTTTTAGTTGGTGGCAAGTGCTAACAGTTACCTCTCTAATACTAAAAAAAATCCAAAAAACAAATCCTCTGTTTTGACAACACATTCAAACCAAGACTGTTTGATAACTAACGATTTTAGACAAATTTGTAAAACTGTAAAATAAACAGCAAAGCCTTACTGTTATGCTTCCTTTTTATCTTATCCTTTGGACTTTTGCTTTAAAATAAGTTAAAACTTTGTGCCAGGAGAAACAAGATTCTCTGGTACAAGAACTGAGAAGAATGCTTAAGCAAACGTCCACACAAATCGTGCCTAGAGGACTTGAAAAGTCAACTATAAGTCGCTCTAAAGCCTCACCTTTGAAAAAGGAATTTAGCGAAATAGGCGTACAATTCTCGGAGTTAAGGTGAAAGACATATTGGATAAACATGCTACTTAAATTGCAAGTACTCAACTAACACAAAAACAATTCCCCGCGAATTACAAATCTCTTTTAGAAGCATAATAATAGTATCTTCACATAATACTGTACTTGTCGCACTTCGGTCTTATAAGGAGAATACAAATTTCCACCGTTGCCACCTAATTCTCCAAAAAAATCTTAAATGAGCAGTTAAAGAAGACCATTGCTGTTTTCTCTACTTACTGCACTGTATACACGTTTGGGTATCAGCTCGAAACTGTGGTTTAGAGCAGTTGAAATTTTTAGTAACTCAGAACACACTGCCTTGGAAGCAAGTCATAGGCTTTTCAACCTGTACAAATCGGTGGTAATTTAGATATGAAACTCTTAACCACCTGACTATCAATTCCGCTCAACCAAAAATACGTGAATTCCTCGCGTTTTTCATTAAAACAGGAAATAATTCCCCCACGATACCCAAAAGCTATATAGAAATTAAAATTACCTGTAGTATGTTGTTTTCGAAGCTGGACAGCTCGTTTCGCCGCTTGTTTCCGAACTTTTTTGCGCCACGGACGCCTCTTCTTTACTCCGGAATAAACACATGAACAGAAATTAGTTCAGTTTAATATCATTACCATCAAAACACAATTTTGCGCTGTCTTCCATAACATTTGAAAACGATGAAGAGAAACTATTTCGTGGTGCTTATGCAACCGTTTATGTTACTCTAAGTTACCTTGACATAATTAATAACCTTTGTGGCAGGTGCAGCATCCTCACTACTCTTAAAATTCCTTTGGGAAGGTTCAGAATCTTCTTCACTATAAAAATTTCTTTTCCTCGATTTCCGAGTAGTACTCTCCCTCTCCTTCTCGCTCCTGGTCACTGTCTGAGTCATTTCGTACGAGTGAATCTAAACTACGCTTATAGAGCGAAGAAATTTAACAAGCGAGATAGGAACCCATACGAGACAGAAAGCAAGAGTTTTGTGGCGGCACCGCGCATCACTTTTAACCTATCTTTGGAACTACATGTATGTTCAATCCTAATTAGTTAAAGAGGGAAAATGCTCTCGCCTGGAAAAATTCCAGCAAAATTGGCTGTGTGCCACTATGCTATACGGAGATATCCGGAAGATACCGGAGAAGCCCCGGAAAAGGTAGGTTAAAGTTCTTTGCTAATTACGTATATGAGGTGTTTTTAGTGTCACTTTGTTGCAATTGCCTAATCTGTTTACAGTTCAAATTTCTCCGGTTTTGGTTTTGCTTCTACCGAGATATTAGCAGAAATATAACAGGATCTTCGTTTTTGATAGGTAGTTTTTAACTTATTTACTGTTATAGCTTTTGTATATGTGCGGGAAAACACCTGTTTTCCATTTTTTTCGTAATCTACTTGATGAGGAGATAAAAAATATGTGAAAAATAGTGTAACAGTACTGGCGGATGGGAAAAAGCGGTTTGAAACCAATAATTGAAAAACCAAAATTTATTGTTAAGTTTTGAAAAAATTGGAATATTGCTATAAAAATAATAATTGAAGGGAAAAAATGGAAGGAGAAGAATAAAGAAACAGTCACTAAGACAGTTCTTCACTCACTGCGAGTAATATCAGTTTTAAATACAGTAACTTACGAAACAATTAATTGAAATGGAAAAAAAAAAAAAAAA